AGCTCGAGGCGAACCCGGCGGTGGCGACGAGAGCCTCCCGGGAGGCCTCCCAATTCGCCGGCCCCACGGGCCAGAGGCGTGCTGAGATCTCCGGTACCTACTTAACACTATTTCTAGTTCGCTCCAAGACGGCCCCAAATAGCGCTCCAGGGCCGGCGGAATGAGCGAAGCGATTCAATATGGGAAAACAAATACTTTGGCTGGGCGCCGTGGGGCAGCCGTGGGCGCCTCGTGGGCGCCCCGTGGGCAAACGTGTTTCACGCGAAGGGGCAGCCGTGGGCGCCTCGTGGGCGCCCCGTGGCCCTTCCGGCTGGGTCACCCCGAGGTGCAGCCCGGTGGGCGCCCGGTGGGCGCCTCGCCTCTCGGGCAGCTCCTGACCCGGGTCAATCCAGACCCAGGTCAGTCAGGTCTTACATTAAGTCGGGCCTGTCCCCCTCCAGGGAGATTTTGGAGGAAAAAAACAGTAGTCAAAACATACCCCCAAATGGTCAAAAACTACTCCAAAAATAGTTTCCACATACTATTTTTTCACTATTTCTGAGTACTCCTCCTGTAGAGGGACAGGCCCGACTTACGTCTTACAAGATCCTGCAAGACCCTGCACCCAAACCCGGGCCAATGCGAAGAAGGATCCTGCGAGACCCTACAGGATCCTGGCCAGTGCGACCCTGGCCCCTGCAGGATGCTGCAAGATCGGGCGCTCTGGCTGACCCCCACTTGCATTGACCCCCTCTCTCGGGGGCGGCCAAGAGGGGGGCGTCCACGAGGGGGGGGGGGCGCAAACCATGGCCGGCGGCACGTGCGCGGCTCGGGGGGCTGGGGACGTACTGAAATAAGAGGAGGCGCCATGAGATCTGGGGAGATCTCATGGCCCCCACCCTGATTATCCCCTTCCCCTCCTAGACGCGACCCCCGAGTCCCCATGACTATTGACCCCCCCCTGGACGCCACCATGATTATCCCCCCCCCCAGACGCCACCCCCGAATCCCCATGACTATTGATTATCCCCCCCCCCTAGACGCCACCCCCGAGTCTCCCGTGACTATCCCCCGCCCCCCCCCCTCGACGCCGCCCCCCTCTTGGCCGCCCCCGCGTCTCCAAGCGCCCAACCCTCGCCGGCGCCCGGCGGGCGCGCCCCGCGGGCGCCGTCGCGGGCGCCGAAGCGCGCTCGGCGGGCCGGCCGAGGCGTTTCGCCCGCCGCGTGGGCGCCTCGTGGGCGCCTCGTGGGCGCGTCGTGGGCGCCTCGTGGGCGCGTCGTGGGCGCGTCGTGGGCGCCGCGTGGGCGCGTCGTGGGCGCCGCGCGGGCGCCTCGTGGGCGCCGCGTGGTCGCGTCGCACGACGCAGGCCTGCCTTCCCTAGCTCGGCCCAGGCTGCTTGCGGAACCCACAGCGGGCACCGCGGAGCCTGCGCACCACGGCTTTCGGCACGCGGCTTGCCCCGCATGATCTGCGCACCGTAGCCTGCGCCACGGAAGTTGTTCTGCGCGTAGGTTGCCCCATGGCTTGCGAAGCGCATATATTGCACTACACAGTTTGAGTAGCCTAGCGTACACACCAAGCGTAAGAGCTCACTGATTGAGGTTCACGCTGGCAAACAGAACATCGTCACGAAAAAAAAGTAATACGCAAGGGGGGATAACCAAATCATTGAGAAGCCCCGAGTGTGAGGGATACTCAGTAGAGAAAAGGCGCCTGCGAGAGGCACAGGACGCCATAACAAAACTAACAAACACTCTGAACCAACATGCGAGATGGGGCTTCGCGGACGTCTCTGGCGAGGTTGGAGACGGATCTGTGCCAGAACACAGCGAAACCGACGAGACGGTCGCGCCGCCGCGAAGCCAGCTACAGCAAGTTCGTGTCGTGACGATTTCTGAATATCGTTTAACCGAGCCCCATCCCCAGCATCGTGGCCTGGGCCCCACTGGCCCATTAACCCCCCTAGATAGGGGATATAGCTCGTTCTCTTCGGGTTTCGAGGGGTGTTTTCCCAATAGGGGTGGTGATTTGGCGGGGGTCTCGAAGGGGATGGAGATGGGGATGGGGATTGCAGCCTTTATATCGCCACATCGTTCCATGCTTGCCGAATCCGGCGATGGACAAACCTCCCTTTAGTAAACCACACTTGAGTGAAAACGGCCCAGGACCGAAACCGACGGACTTGGACCGCAAAAAACGGCGGGCCGCGACTCCTCGCGAACCTACAACGGCCAATTCGCTAATCGACGTGTCATGGTAGGAGGCTCCTATCAACCTTCGAGTGGATCGCTCATCTCCGAGTGGATCGCGTGCAATACAGTCGACGCAATACAATGCAGCACAATTCTCCCAAATCCACTTCCCCCAAATCTATTGCACCACCCCCTTTCAGCTGGACCCACTTTTTCGGGAGCGGCCGATAGGGGAGCGTCCAAGAGGGGGGTGCAAATCATGGCCGGCAGCGCGTGCGCGGCCCAGGGGAGAGGGCCGCGGATGTGATGAAATAAGAAGAGGCGCCATGGCATCTGGGGAGGTCTCATAGCCCACGCCATGTTATCCCTCCCCTCCCCCCTACTCATCTCCTCTCTTGGCCGCCCCCGACTTTCGGGTCGACCAGCTTTTCGATCGCCACGTCGCTCCATGCTGGCCGCATCTGGGGTTCAGTCGGGCGTGTCCCCCTACAGGGGGATTTTCGACGAAATTAGAAATACCCCAACAATACCCCAAAAGGGTCAAAAAATATCGTAAAATAGTCCCCAGACTACTTTCGTCGAAAATTTTGTGTTTTTTATTCTTCGTCGAAAATCCCCCTGTAGAGGGGAGAGGCCCGACTGAAATCTGTCGGGAGCGGCCAAGAGGGGGGTGTCCAAGAGGGGGGGGTGCACATCATGACAGGCGGCATGTGCGCGGCCCAGCGGGGGGGCCTGGGACGTAATAAAACAAGAAGAGGCGCCATGAAATCTGAGGAAAAATCATGGCCCGCGCCATGAAATCCACCCCCCCCTAGTCATCACCCCCTCTTTTCCGCCCCCCCTGTGCTGCTGCTGGTGCCGATGATGCCCAGGGCCCCCCCCCGCGGGTCGGCCCCAGATCCGCTCCAGGCGCGCCCGAAGCCCACCCGAAGCCCGCCCACCTCGCGAATCCTCCAACCCCTAGTCATCACCCCCCCTAGTCATCACCCCCCTCTCTTCCGCTCCCGAATCTGGGGCCACCTGGCGGCGTTCCGCCCGGAACGCCCGCGCGGGGGGCCGCCGCCGCCCCTCGCCGGCACGGTGCGCACATATGCCGCACATGCCACGGGCGGGGATTGAGCAGGGACCTTCTGACCCGGGTCAATCCAATATGTGCGGCCGCCTCGCGGCCACGAACGGCTCGCTAACCCGGGTCAGCCAGAGGGGGTCTTCGCAAGATCATGCAGGATCTGCTGCCGTGGCTGACCCCCGTTTGCATTGACCCCCGTCTCGAGGCTCCCGAATTGAGCAGGGACCGACCGTCCCGGCATTCCTATAGTCATACCACGAAATATTAGGGAACCCACAAAGGACGTACGCGCCAAGCTATGTACATGAACACGGCCCCTCGATTCGCGAGACGGGCCGCGTTATACGAGCATTTGTGCAGTGCGTGGTCTCGCAACCAGCGTGGATTCATGTACATGTACGTCCTTCTTTCGCTCCTGAAATTTTCTTAGAACCCAAAAATGTTCGAATAACAAGAACAATGTTCTTAGGGCATAAACCCGATGTGTTAAAACAAGGCAGTCCCAGCCAGAAATGTTCTAAGAACATTTCGTGGGAACCACAAAAGGTTCTTAGAACATTGTTTGGTGGGGCTATAGGCGAGCCGGGACGCTTCGCCACTGCTTGAGGGGAGGCCTGCCAGGGGGGAGGGGGGATCGCAAGCTCCAATGCAATCACACCAGAGAGCTCGTTCAAGGCTTGACGACTTCTGCCGTCCTTCGACTCGCACTGAGAGCGGCCGCGAATTGCTCCAACTTTGCCTGGAGATCTCTGGATTTTTCTGGACTTATCCGGATGTATCTCGATCTGCCTGGATTTACCCTGATTTATCTCAATTTATCTGCATCTATCTGGATCTATCTGGCTCGACTCCCACAAGTCGATTGGCGAAAAATCGATAAGCCCTTAGGGAAGAACAACCCCAGTCAGATGATGGTTCGATGAGATGGAGGGTGCGATCGATTGATTGAGGTCAGTAGTGAGATCGATCATGAGGTCGAGAATGCACCGTGGGATCGAGAAAAAGATCGATCAGGAGATCGACCAGGACCCCGGGAACCCGGAACCCACCGAGATCTGCACGGAAAGAATGACCAGGAACCCGGGAACCGGGAACCCAGCCGGCTACCAAAAACTTTGGCCAAATCTTCCAATTTCCGTAAGGTACCCTTCAGTGCAAGCACTGACTGGGGAAAAACCTATTTATTGCACCACCACTGACCATCGTGTATCCGATTCTTGTGCCCACCGACGTGGCTTGGGCCCCACTGGCCTACCTGCCCCTCTAGATAGGAATCTAGGTTGCCTCCTTCGGGCCTCGTGGAGTGTATCCCCAACTGGGGTGGTGGAATGGTGGGGGTGTGGATGGGGATGGAGATGGGGATAGGGATCGGTGAAACAATAAAGTCATCGGCCTGACCTAAGGAACGATAAATAAAGAAGGACTTCTTGTCCAAGGAATCTAGCATGAGGAACGATAAATAATGCATAGCGCATGAGGAACGATAAATAACGCATGCAAGCCTGAGGAACGACCGGGCCCCTTCAGAGAATCAAGTGTTCCTTATTCAAGCCGCTCACTGTACTTGCCGTCGCTCAGACGTCCACTTCCCGTGCATTTTTAGATTTCGTGCGTGTTTTTGTTGTTCAATGGTCCAGGATGGTCCTTGATGGTTCTCGCCAAGAAAAAACGCACACGTCCGAGCGATGCCAAGTGTACTGAGAGTGACCGCCCCCTCGGAAACCCTTCCCCCTCTGCCGCACCACGGCGCCCGCGCCGGCCTGGCAGGGGCAGCAGCTGCTGCCGCTCCGCGGAGAGCAGCTCCCGCTGCTCGCCGATGTGCACGTTGCGCAGGCGCAGCTGCTCCCGAAGCATGACGATCTCCTTCGACCAGGCGTGCTCTGACTCAGAGCAGGTATGGGACGAAACAGGGACGACGACAGTGTGGGACTGACGTAGTGGTGGGGCGGTGCGGTGAGAGGGGGGGAGACGCGCGCACCTTGCGTGCCCCTTTTCGGCCCCAGGGGGTCCGAGCAGATGGGGCCGGAGGATCGCGCCGCATCGCCGATGCATCGGCGATACGTCGCCGATGCATCGGCGATGCATCAGCGACGTCGGCGATGCATCGGCGACCCCGACCTGAGAAAATCGGGCTCCGCATCGAGCCGCATCGCCGATGCATCGGCGATGTGGGACGATCCTCCGACCCCGTCTACTCGGACCCCATCTGGGAGGCCTAGATTTAGGGCTCCTTCAGGGCACGAGAGGCGCACCATTCTTAGACCCTCATGTATCGCACCCCCATGGCGCAACGCCCGAACAGCGCCAGACGGGAACATATCCTCGACCTCTGAGATCTGGCGGCCCTGGGGGTAAAAGTCGCGCGCCGCAGCCCTTCCAGAGCGCTCTGGAAGTTTCTGGAACGATTGATCCTGGTCTTAAGTTGGGCGTGTCCCCGTACAGGCGGATTCTGGACGAATAATAAAAGTTAGCCAACAAATATTTAAACAAATAGTCAAACATGCTAACAAAATCGGCCCCTTGACTATTTTCAACTATTTTTGCATATCTCTCCTCTTGTAGAGGCACATGCTCGACTTACATCCTGGTCCTGGCCCTGCTGCCCGATACTCGCCAACTCTGCACTGCCCCGCCCAGCTCCGCCTCTGCGCCGCCTTCCCACTCCAGCTTCTTCCCCCCCCCCCCCCGGTTTCCTGCACCCTCTGTGCCGCGCTCCTCTCCACGGTGGCCTCGCATGCTGCGTGAGCCCTCCTCCTCCTTCTGCTCCTCCTCCTCCTCCTCGTCCTCCTCCTCCTCCTCCTCCTCCCCCTCCTCCTCCTCCTCCTCCTCCTCCTCCTCCTCCTCCTCCTCCTCCTCCTCCCCCTCCTCTTCCTTCTCCTCCCTCCCTCCCTCCCTCCCTTCACTCCCAGCAGTCTGACGCCACCCGGAGCATCAGCTGGAAGAACCCCGACGGCAACCCCACAGGAGTCCCGAGACGGGAGCGGAGGGCAAAGGCAGCCCGCGACAAAGAGATGGCCCAGGATGGTTGGCTCTCCTCCGGAGCGAGACCTTCACGCGGAGCTGAGGCTGTGGCTTTGCCATGCTCGCAGGCGTGTTGCAGCGGTTCCGCCAGCAAGGCTAAGCCAGGAATGCAGCCATCGCCTCGATGGTGATCGGATGGAATATCGGGGAGCGTATTCTCCAGGGGCTCTGGCCGAAGGTCTGCAGCACGCGAGAGCAGGCTAATGGAGCCAAGAAGCAACAGAGATAATTTGCTTCCCCACAGCAGCCGAGACAATCGCCATACCCGTATCTCCGTAGCTCCTCCTCTTCAGTCTTCTTTCTCCGCGCTACTCCCCTCAAAGAGCCCCAAGAGGATCCCAAGATCCGCCCAAAGAGTCCCACGAGGGCTCCACGATGCGGATTTGAAGGCCCCTTCCTCGTCCTCGCTGTCAACCTCTTCCTCCTCCTCCTCCTCCTCCTCCCTCCTCCTCCCTCCTGCTCAGCGGGCAACGCCGGGCTCAAGAAGTGCTTGGACGTTGCGGCGGGCGCGGCAGTCGCCTGGTCGCGCTCTTCCAGCTGGCTCCGCTGGCGCTCCCACAGATGGTCGAGCTCGAGCCGTTCCACCTCCAACACCTGCGGGCCACCCTTCCCCCTTTTCTGATCTGGACGCCCGAACTGGGGTACGGCGGGTTTGCGCCGTGACGACCCCAGCGTTGGTTTCTGACATCGCGTTGAACGATCGGCGGCGTATCGATTGCCATATCGTTCCATATTAGGCCGATTCTGGGCCACTGGCGGCGTTCAACCTTGAACGCCCGCGGCGGGGTCGCGACGAGTCGACACGACGCGAACCTAGCGAAATAACGGGAGAAATCGGCACGATGTCCAACAACAAATACTGTCCAAAACCGACAGCGGCCGTTGCTGTGCAAACGGCCCCCATGCCTCAATTTTGGGACAACGTCCGCGGCGTCGCGGACAGCGAGCTCTTGTTCAAAATGAGAAGGCACTGCTGGACATCGTACCTTCTCTGTCCGAGCCCATTTCGTTCGCTCGGGTGTGAACGCCCACAGCTATATATGACTATACATTTTCACACAACCGATATACGCATATATATATATATATGTACGCATACACACACATATATATATATACACATATGCATAGACATACATACACACCAAGTGTTTGGTAGGCCAAACAACTCCGTCCAGAGACACCCCAACTTCCCAACCGTTGGAACGTCTATGCACGCAATTCTTTCGCCGAGTTGTTTGGCTGGCCGAACGACGTGGTGTATACATCAAGGCCCTCGGACATGTTTCCCCAGAGAAAGCAGCAACAACACAATAAACGCTCCAACCCCCACCCGTTTGCGGGGGCCACCCTGCCGCGGAAGGGAAGCACCAACAACCCGAAAACTGCACAACGCCCACAAGCGCAATCGTGGAGCTCGTTGACTTCGCTCGCTCCTTCACATCTCAGCGCCGGTGAACTTTCGAACGCGACACACGCACTTGCCCTGAACGCGCACCCGTTGTTGTCCACCACCATCGAATCGTGTTTCATCTGCCAAGGCCTTCCGTCGCGCCCATCGGGACCTCGGCCGGAGCCTCCCGTGAGTTGTTCCCGCCCGCGTGGGTCCGCCCGGCAACCCTTGGGTACTCTTGTGGCCCTCTGTGGGTCTCTCGGGGGCCTCTCGGGGACCCTTTTTGTGTGCCTGCTTGAACTAGTTTGGGGAATCTCGCGGCCATGTTTGCGCTCTTGTGGGCAGGAAACTGTGGGCATCCACTGGGGGCGCCTTCGGCTGCATCGAAACCCGCTGAAGCCCTCTCGAAGCCAAAGTCCAAAGTTCCTTGAACATCAAAAATCCGACAAAAATACCCCACAACGCAAACGGCTGTTTGAGGACTTGTGCGCTCCACGGGCCTTTTCTTGGCGCTTCGATTGAGGCGTATGTTTGAACTTGTGAGCGCCCCGCGCGGTCAGAGCACGTGGAAAGGCGGCCGGGGGTGGGGGGGAACTGGATAAAGCCAGATTGGAGATTATCCGGGCGTTGACAGAACCCCAGAATCAAAAATATCGTGGCGGTCGCGCGAGGTTTGCCCGGCCATGGCCATAACCTCATGCCCGTGAGAATAAGCACTAGGGGATAATAAAGTTCGGGGTTCAGGGAGAGATAATAAAAGTAGCCCAGCAAACCTCATCATAATCTCGATGTAAGAGATGATCAAGAGGAGACCAAGCCGAGCACGTTTTGAGACATCCTTGGCGTTTAGTTTTCATAGAAATATCCTCAACAATTGCTTATCTCGCTGGAGACATCCTCGACAAATCCCTTGTTTCGCTTGAGACATCCGCAAACAATTGCTTATTTCGCTTGAGACACAGACATATTATTGCTTATTTCGCTTGAGACATCCTCGGAATAGCTCATCCGCCTCGGTGTCCCTAGAAAATCAACGGCGGCGATGATAAAGTTCAGGCGGGCGGAGGAATGGAGGAAGCTATATATAAAAGGAAAAAAAGAATAAATAATCAAATAAAAAAATGCTAGGAGGAGGAGAAGGACGAAGAGAAGAAAAAATCTCGAGTTTCAAATCTGTTAGATTTTATTTACAAGCGCTTTATGAACATTGTTTTTTGTAAGTGCTCGTGTAGGGTAGTTCATGTGCCTCAATTTCCATGGATAATCAACCCCAGACATAAAAAAGTTCAGGCGAGCGTGGGGACAGAGAGAAATATAAGAGAAGAAGAATACAGTAGAATAATAATAAGAAAGAAGAAGAAGAGGATAATAAGAAGAGGACGAAGAAAGAACAAATCCAAAGTTCCAAATCTATCAATTTTAATTTACAAGCGCTTTATGAAAATTGATGTTGTAAGTGCTCGTGTAGGGTAGTTCATGTGCTTCATTTTCCATGGATAATCAACCCCAGGGATAAAAAAGTTCAGGCGAGCGTGAGGACAGATAGAAATATAAAAGAAGAAGAGGAAAGATCAGAATAATAATAATAATATAAGAAGAAGAGAAGAAGAAGAGAAGAAGAACGGAAACATGGAAAGTTCCAAATCTTTCAATTTTAATTTACAAGCGCTTTATGAAAAATTGATTTTTAAAGTGCTCATGTAGGGTAGCTCATGCGCCCCCCTTTCCATGGATAATCAACCCCAGAGATAAAAAAGTTCAGGCGCGCGCGGGAATACATACATATATAAAAAGGAAGATAAAACATATACATAAAAAGAAAAAACTTGCTGGTTTAGCTTGAAACATCCTTGAGACATCCTTGGAACATTGCTCGTTTCGTTTGAGTCTGCCTCCCATTTTTTTTGGTTTCGCTGACGCATCCTGAAAAAGTGTGATCGCTTCGCTTGATGTTGCTATATCAACATCGCTTGATGTTGCTATCTCAACATGGCGTTTCGAGGTGATAATGAAGTTCGGCCTCAGCGCTCGCCGCACAATTTGAATTTTGTATAGGGCGACGATAATCAACTCTAAACACTGAAGGGGGGGGGGGTCCCTTTATTATCATCGGCATGCGGTTATTTCTGGGCGCCAGTATGATTGATACCGAGCGCGCAAGTGCACGGACGGCACCTCGGATCCCATCGCGCGGGCGACGCGGACGCGGCTGCAACCGCACTTCAATAGCGGGTGCACAGGCTGCCTCGCGAAACGACTGCAACGCGTCGCAGATTGCAGGTACAGCAGAAAGAACCCGCTGTCGAATCGCGCAGGGGGGGGGGGCATGGGCGACATTCCCACCATTTCGCCGCGCAAAGATGGCGCAAAAGTCGCAGCACGTGGGCCAACTACCAATGTCGCCCCAAACGGGGGTCAAGTCGCTCGGCCGCGGCAAACGCCGCGAACGCGACCACGCCCGAAAACGAATTTGGGAAGCGTCCTTGCGCTTGCAGGGCTCATCGCCGCTGGCCCCGCGCACCTGCTCGGCATCGTGCCGCCCTCTGGCGAGTCGAGGCGGCGCAGAGTTCGCCGCGTCGCGCAGGCAAGTGCAAGCCGTCGCATGGCCCTGTCTCCTAGGGGACGGCAGCAGCTTCATCCTGCAAACGAGCGCGCCACACATGAAACATGACATGCGTCTCCCCTGCACCTGGCTGGCCGGCGCTGGCGCGGGAACGCGCGCGCGAGGGCTTGGGAATCATGCGTAAGGCGCGCATGCAGCGCGCCCCGCTGGCGGCGCTGGCGCGGGCGCAGACGCGCGCGAGTCGATGCGTCAGACGCGCGGCGCGTTTTCCACCCGCCTCGATTCGCACGCATTGCCCTTGTCCCCCGCGCAGCCGCCGGCGCGCTTGCTCGCTCGCGCGCAATCCCACTCGCTCTCGCGCGCAATGGTATTCAGAAGCGCTCGCATCCATGTCCTTTCATGCAATGAACCTTCCGAGAAGCTCATGCCCGAGCCCGCCCGCGCTCGCGCCCACTTGCCCCCGCAGCCTGCGCCACTGCTGACATGCGTTTCAGAGGACCCCAGTGGTGGGGCCCCGGCATGATTCACACCGTTCTGCGCCCAGGTGCCAGAGGCATGCAAACTGCGTGAGGGTCTTCGGTTCAGAATCCTGGGCGCGTTTTCCATATGCCGTCCGTTTGATGTCGAGGCGCGCGCGCGCGTTTTCTCACTGCGAGCGCGCGGGGCCGCCCGCCCGCCAGCGCTCGCGCGCGCTCCTTCGCCGGCGCGCCGTCGGCACCAGCGGGGGCGCGCGCCGCCCCCGCTCCCGCGCGCAGATCATCGGGGGAACCGGAATGTTCCCGCTCGAACTCTGCATGTCTGGCGAGCCGAGGCCTCGGGTGGGCAATGGGGCGAGAGGCCGCGCGAGGGCCGCGGGCTGGCCGCGGGGCGGCGCCGGGCGCGCTTCGGGCGCGCCAGAGACGGCCCGCGGGCCGCGAGCAGGTCTTGGACGCGCCGTGGGTAGGCCACGGGAAGACCCCAACGCTGGTCACGGCATGGCCGCGCGGGGGCCGCGGGCATACGCGCCGCGGCTTGATGGCGGCGCATAGCTGTGCCACGGGCAGGCCGCGGGTCGGCCGCAGTCGCGCCGCGCGCGCGCCGCGGGCGGGCCCTGCGCGGCCCGCGGGCAGGCCGCGCGCGGGCCGCGGGCAGGTAGCCTGCGCCGCGCAGGCTGGTCATGGGTCGGCAACTGATAATTAATAGGAAATGGGGAGCCCTTGGGCGGGCCGCAGCGAAGCCTCGGGCGGCCCGCGGGCCGGCCGCGGGCGCGACAGCGGCAAGGCCGGGCGGTCAACGCTGCGGCGCGACAGAGGCGACAGCCAAGGGCCGACGGCGGAAGCGCAATGGCCCGACGCGGCGTGCGCGGAGGGGCGGGCCGCCGATCGTTCCGCGCGATTGCGCCAGGTGGGCGGCGGCAACGGCCCGACGCGCCATGGGTCGAGAGGCTCGTCTCTTGGGAGATCAAGACTGCGACGCGCGCGCAGCGTTCGAGACGCAGCGCGACCCGCGACCGCCAGGGACGCGGGGTCTAGATCGGGCGGCGACCCTGCCCCTCCAACTCCGCGCGCGAACTCAAGCCGCCAACTCAACTCCGATAGCCATAGGTCGGGCCTGCCCCCATACATGGGGGATTTTCGACGAACAAATAAAAAATGCCCC